AATGCCCCCACGGCTGAAAGGGCAAGCATGTTTGGTGGAACTGGGAAGCGAACCCGCGACCCGCAGATTGCGAGTCGAGCGTCCTAGCCACCTGGCCATGCCGGGCCCTCAGAATTGTAATTAAATGAGTTATTAATAAAAAACAAAATTTCTTTCTTTTTGTTCTTTATTGTTTTGGTACATTTCATATCACCTAAATTACCTAAAGCACAGTTCTTTCTGTCACAACTGAAGGTACCTTCTTTACAAAAAATATTTCTTTTTAGGTTTATTCAATAAACTATACAAATTTTTAGATCGCCTTCTTGATGAAATAATTTTATTATTTTTGAATACATCTTTCAGTTTTTTTATAGACTATTTGGATCATGAATCACAACAAAAGGTATAATATTCTCTTTAAATTCACTAATCTCTCTGTTTAAATGTTTTTATCAAAAAAATTATTCTTAGCAATTTCGAAACCTCTTAATATAACTTTCTCTGGACAGTGACATTGAACTACAAATTTGATTAGTTCTAGTAATCCATTACCTCTCATTTCTTCATTGGAAACCAAACGATATAATCTATTGGCAAGATTTACAGGAACATTTAATAAAAAAAAATCTACATATTGATGAGAACAATTAGGTTTATAAAAAATATCAGTTACAGTTTCCTTTTCTAATGAAACATTTACCAACACATCTAAAAATGACAAGCCTTTATTACTTCTTTCAAAGATAAACTTAATTTCCTTGTTTATTCAATTTAAAATTCCAACAAATTTATCAATATCTTGAGTATCTTTCCATATTACAAAACAATCATCTAAAAACCTTTTCCAAAAAGTTTTACATGAGCTACAAAATTATCTTTAAAATAATTAGATAGTATATTAAATAACTGTAATTGAAAAATCCCATACTGATATTAGCATAAGTTGGAGCAACTTTTCTGCCCATTCCTGTACCAGATACTTGGTGAATGATTTGCTCCTCATAAGTAAAAAAACAATTTTTTAAAACTCTATCTAAACCTATGTATTTATCTGGAAAACTTTCCACAGCTTTAAGTCCATAGTCATGTTCAATACTTGGGTACAGAAACAGAACACTAATTTTCTTCATAATTTTTCAATAAATTCAAAATCATCTCTAATAAGACAAGGAATATGAGATAAAAAAAGGTTTTACAATATGTCTAGAAGATCACATAAATATTCAGTAATTTTTTTATTTCCTCCTACAATCAGAATATTGGGAGGTTTTTCCAATATGAATATATTCGCTTTACATTTCAAACAATAATTGATTAATCTCTTTTGATTTATGGATTTTAGGAAGTAATAAAATACGCAATTTCTGAATTACTTAAAATAAAATATCATCTTAAATTCATCAACAAAATTCTTTTTCTTTTATGAAAGTGATGAATCTCAATTTATTTAAACTTCCCATTTTTTTGGTAAACCTTTGTATCATATAAATGTTCATAAACCATATGATAATAAAACTGTTGGGTCGTTATTACCCATAATTTATCTTTATCTGTTTTTTGAAATATCAAGTTAGAGTTTTTAAGTTTCTTTGAGCAATTTCTCCTCCTTTGAAATTAGATTATCCTTCCCTTGTCTTTCAGTAATAGAATTCAAATTGTCAAATTAACTGTAATTCCAGGTTTATTTCTTGAACAGGATCAAAATCTGATTGACCTTTTACTAAGGATTTATCTTTATTTTAACTTTCATAAAAACATTCTTTAAGTCTTAATTTCCTATCGAATTCATATACATCTTCTGCTAGTTGTATTTTATTAAGTTTATTTGTGGGAGTAAATGTTAATCCTTTTGCTAATAATCGTATTTCATTTTCTTGCAAATGAATTTCTGTTAAATTAACAATTAAAAAAAAAATTCTGATCCTGTTTATCTCAGCTTTTTGGAACTCTGGCATATTTTGTAAAATTCATAGATCTTTCATATAATCTCTATCTTCTTCCTCCATGTCTTATATATTCCATCCTATTGAAATTTCTTTGTGTAAATCATTAATTTCTTTGTCCTTGTATTTTTTGTTGACTTTGAACATATCTATCTCCTATATCCACACCTCTAGAATTCCATTGGAAAGTATATGTATTTAATTTTCAATTATTTATGTTTAGTTGAAAAGCAGCATTTGTATGTTTTTCGTTACAGATTCTCAGTAAAACTATTTCCTGAACAGTGACCTTTGAAGTCACGGAACTTGTAGAAGAAATTAATAAAATAAAGAAAAAAAGTATGATATTCCACTGTTTTCTTATTTGTATCGACAGGTGAATCTCATTGGTGTTTTGGTTATATACATATATTTAAATATTTTAAAAAATCTATAACTCCACCAACATAATAGGTACAGATCATATGTACAACACAATTAACTTACTCTGAAAAGAACATCCTTGTTGATCAAGCATAGAAGAAAGTGGACTATATAACTGTAATAATGAAGTCTGAAAGAAAAAATGTTCAAGACTATCTTAAGGATTCTTTCAGTACTCTCTCCAAAAAATGTTAACATTATTATTAATACAAAGACTACACTATAAATGTATACACAGAAAATACAATGTGAGAATCTGTTAATATCATGCAATAATACATATAAAATCCACAACTGGCTAATTTGCCAAAACAAGATTTGTTGTAATTAGAATACATACATGCACTTATTTAAAGTGAACAATTTCATTAAAACTTTAAAAGCTGATTACATAATATAGCTACTTAATGTGTTTTAGATCACAAAATACAGAAAACACCTGACAAATACAATGTGTGCAATGTTCTTAATCATTGAGACACAAACATAACTACACTCGAAAAAAAAAAAGTAGTTTCTTATCAACCTGTTTCATATAATTCACTCTAGCATTATGTTAACCATTTCTTTGTTTCTTAGTGTGAAAGATGTTTCTTTTTTATCACACACAAAGCTATACAATGGGATATCTGTTAGTACTGTACACTATGAGACTAATCCACCTGAAAACAAGTGTGAAAGAAACGTAAGGTTTTAAACAGTATTTTACAGTATGGCAAGTTATAACAAACTTTTTCTATGAAAATAAAATTGAACCATGATATTAATCTATAGCTTAATTGGATAAAGTATCAACAAAGACAAGACTTGCAAAATTAACTTGTCTTTACTTTCACACTTTCATTGCCAGTACACAAAAGAAGCTTCATATTTCAGTAAAAACTGTGAACCTTCAAACTACCAGGGGTTTTCCTATGGTAACTTAGTCAGATTACAGTTTTGTACTATAAAATTGCTATTAAACATCTTGAATCACCAGGAGTTTTTCTGCAATTACAAAGCCAGATGACATATTTCTACTGTAAAACTGCTTTTATAATATTGAGCCACCAGGAGTTTTGCTGTGGTAACAAAGCCAGATTACATTTTTATACTGTAAAATAGCTATTACACATCTTGAATCACAAAGAGTTCTGCTATGATCACATAGCCAGATTTCATTTTTTACTGTAAAATATCTATTACACATCTTGAATCACAAGGAGTTCTGCTATGATCACATAACCAGATTACATTTTTTACTGTAAAATATCAATTACACATCTTGAATCACAAGGAGTTCTGCTATGATCACATAGCCAGATTACATTTTTTACTGTAAAATATCTATTACACATCTTGAATCACAAGGAGTTCTGCTATGATCACATAGCCAGATTTCATTTTTTACTGTAAAATATCTATTACACATCTTGAATCACAAGGAGTTTTGCTATGATCACATAGCCAGATTACATTTTTTACTGTAAAATAGATATTAAACATCTTGAACACAACTTTTGCTATGGTCATACAGCCAGATGACATTTTTGATCAGAAAGTTCCAAATTACTTAACCCTTTCAATGTTTTTCACAAGCTTTCTATTAATTTTATAGTTTTATTTCCACATTTTGTACCATAAAAAAATTAATTCTTGTATAAAAAAACAATAAGTCACAGTGGAAGCCCATCAGCTGTTTTCCTTAAAGCTAATGTAACAGCAACTTATCTAGTATTTTATTTCATGCCAGTGCTCGAGCTAGTTTACTTTTAGACATCTTATTTTACTGAAGATTTGTTAAGGTAGTAAGCAGAATATTTTATAATTTTTATATTTTTGTTACTTTTGTTAAAAAAGATATATAACAATAAATAAAAATATACATAAAAACAGATTTATAGTATTCAATGTATATTAAAACTGTTTGCACTCAGGTAAAAAATATTTGACATCCTCTCCTAAGCCTCATTGAGTCACAAAGTTGGATGTCCAAAAAACACAAATTCAAATAGCTTTAAAATATTAATTTCACAACACAAAAATATAAATCTGGCACTACAATAGAATGTCCTAAAGCTACCATAATTTCCCAAGCTTTCTAAGTAAGCTATAAGTAGGTTAAAAAAATTCTGTTACTTGTTTAGAGCAGTAAATACAAGATCACACAACAAGACATTTCTATCAAGTGAATACTCTCCCCAACAAAATCAAAAGCACAGTTATAAGATTAATATAGAGTAGTATCTACTCTTTCTGTTGATTGTAAACTGCTCTTCAGCCAACAAACAATCTAAAGTCACATAGAGAGAGGAGGGGTTTCTCTGGTGGATTTGGCAAATTTATTGATATCTCAGTAAATGAAAGTAGGATGTTTAAATTTTATATCCATGCTTGTAATTATATATATAGTTTGTGTTTCTAATTGGTGGAAACTGCAGCAGCCCATTTCACAAGATAGAACATTTTGAAGTGAAGAATTTGGAACTTAGATACATCATGTGATATAGAAAATGAAGTTTGAATCTTTTTTAATATCTCTTTTTGAAATTAAAATTTATATAACATATTAAAAATTTTAATTATAAACTATGTTTATATGCTATGTTTATTGACATACATTCATACCAAAATTGTTTAATTAAATTTTGAATGTTACACCAAAAGGTTACGACATGCATTTTGACCTGGTTGTATGGAGTTAACAAAATACTTAGGTTTCTCACAAACTGGAACAAGTAGTTTTAACTTGTGTTCTGAACAAAATAACATGTCCTAGACATTCAATCACTTATAAGCTTTCAACCATGCAAAAGGTCCTAATTGTGGTTTAAAGGAAAGATACTGAGAGAGTAGTTGTATCTAAATGAAGTAATACTAATACTTCTTTCAAAGAATTTGATTAGAAATGGATAAAATATATTTTCCAGTAGCATTTGTGGGATACTATAAGTTTCAGGCTTTATCATGTTAGTTAGTTATACTACTTTTTTGCATAAATCATGTTCCAAAACAGTAACTTTAAGTATGAAAATCTAGTTAAGCCTACAACAGCACAATTCTCTTTAGGGATGTAATAATTTTCAAAGGAATATTTATAAACAAAACAGGTTACATTCCCATAGTGAAAGTACATATGAAAGTTGACTCTTGCATGCTCTATCAGTCATAAAACAAGGTTACATTGTGTCTTACAGTTAAATAACCTAAAACATTACATTTTTAATAACATGGAATGTTATCAATTCTATATTTTCTACATTTTATGCTGAAGCTGTACAACCAACACAAAAGTAAGTTGAAACATTATAAAACAGACAAAGCCACAAAGTTTTAATGTGTCTTTGTGCTTCTCAAGAGCAGATAAAACTACAATAAGATATCACTTGATTATAAATTTATCTTACTTCTACACTACATACATAAGGATTTAAACATATTCAGCAGCTTCTGACCTTTATTGATGCCAACAGCAGTTTTTCATTCTGAACAAACACTTGCCGTTTATCTGGTGTCAGATTTATGTCCACTTCCTCTAAAACACGGATAAACATGAAATGAAATAGTTCAGGAAAACAAAAAAGTTATTAATCTTAATAAAGATAAACTTTTTATAAATCTGATGTATTCCATTATTTATTTACCTTTTTCCAGTAAGATGTTTAGACATACAACAGGATACTGATGTCTGTTAAAGCTGTGATAGACATCATTAATCAGCCTTGTTACCTTGTGAAGAAAAAAATAAAAACATATTTAGTTACTATATTAACACTAGTTACAAGTGCTCCATCTTGTAATGAGAAAAAGTTGTTTCAATAATAGTATGTACCATAATGTCAAGTGCCACTTTTTACAAAATTATCTTTAAAAGGAAAAATGACAAAACTAGAATAGTAATCAATAGTAATTGTCAACAGAATCAGTTTTTGAAAAAAAGGTTACACCTAATACTTTCACACAAATACTTTATTAAAAAAATATTAAAGAAGTTTTAAAATATTTGCATAAAAAATATGTCATAACACCAGCAGAGAAAGTAGCCAATAGCTTTGTTTTTATTTGCAAAATAATTCTATATTATTACACCTTGTAAGGAACTCAGCTAAAATCTTCAAAGTTTGCAACCTTCAGATAATTCTATTTATGCTTATGTTAAAACCAATGCAAACAACATAATACTTTAATAGAATTTACAGTTGGTACAAATATTAACAATATTGTAATTCCAAAGTCACTAAAGATTCATAACTTTCACAAGTCATTCTATAAATACAGATTCAAAGCTGATTTTCTAGTTTATGGTTCTTTAAACAAATAATATCGAAGGGTATAAAAATTATGCTTTGCCTGAGTATATATATTATAATACAAGTATTTATGTTAAATTCTGTACTTCTTGGAGGGGTGGTAGGTAAATCAGAGAAGAGGGAAGACCTAAAGAATAAATGTTACAATTCTCAAACTAAGGGAGATTGGTGATTCTTTTAAGTATTTCCTTAAAAATTTTAAAACTTAAAACTTGTGTAATATCAAAATTTGTTTTCACTACATTTGAATGCCATTTATTCATATGCACTGATAATAAAGCAGTTTATTCAAATTTTGAATGTAACATTGCAAATGGTTGTGACGTGCACTTTGACCTACCCAATGTAAAAGCGTTAAAGAACATTTGAATAAATATGGTAGATTAAAAAAGAAAGGACACGTATTAATTCATACATAATTACAAAAATGCCACAGAATGCTCAAATCTTTCACAACTAAATCTATTGAAACATTTGACTTCAGCAACCTTTATAGCAGTGCACTCTAACAAGAAATCAGTGAAAACTTAAATATGCAATTAACAGACATTTTAACAATGCTGGGAAATTAATGATACTAAATTATTCTTTTATAATACTTATCATAAAAGCCATTACTGTTTTTACACTCAGTCAAGTCATACAAGCCATATTTGTTTAACTTAATACATTTTTATGATTTGGTTCACCCATCTTTAAACTGACACAGCACATACCAACAGATGATATTAACTTCAGTCTGCAACCTGCATTTTTTGTTTGTTTTTCAATTTGAATATCATTACATCAAACAACTTCTCAATGAAGACTACCATAAAATTTTAAAAATTGATAGACCTTGCAGACACAGCAATGACACAGTAGTACCAAACGTATCAAATTTTCCAAGCATACCTACCTGTTAAATCCAGTACTTGATAAAAAAGTGCAGCAAATATAAATGAAGCACACTACTTCAATTTAATTTATTAATCACATACTTGGCTTCAAGGTTTACAATAAAACAGAGGACTTTAATTTTAAGGTTATAAATTTCCATTTCCAGGTGCAAACATTCTAAAGAAAATACGCTCCGACATTTACCTATCACAACTCATTGCATTTCCTAGAATCTATTGTTTGTTGTAACTTGGAAAATTTTATAGAGAGCTCAAATACTAACACAGAACCTTTAGAACAGAGGTTTTTTCTTTCAACAAATTATTCAAGGCATTTTTTAAATTTTGTGGTGAAAACAATTTACTTTTTAACTAAAATGTGTAACAGTGACAGTTTCACCACTTTTCATACAATCTTCAGTACAAATTAACATAACAACTACAGATCATACATAACTTTCTCTATCTTTGCTTTACATAATCTTAAATAAATCTAAGCATTAAACCCTTCAAATTTATCATTTTACTCAACTTTAATATAAGTTATGCTGAGTCAACTGTTTTCCATGATGTGGTCATTTAATCAGTATAAATCACGTACTTAACATACTCAGTACAGAATAAAAATATATCATATTCTTTATCATATACTCAAAAACAGGCCTATTCATTTAATCTTTCTCACTTATTTTTTATTTGACTGCATAAAAATGCTGAGTCAATCATTCACCATGACTTGATTGTTGACTCAGATTACATAATTAACATGGTCACTATAGGATGTAAAGAACGTTCCTTATCCTAACTTTACATACTCCAACACAAGTCTAAGAGTTTCTCACACCCAAAATACATTTAAAACTATATTTGTTATTTCTGACTTTCCTCAAGTCGTATCTTAAATTTTATCAAATTATCTTTCCCTTTTTAAGAACTGGTTATTTTTAATTTGTTCCCTTTATAAGCCAATCCCCTTCCAAGTCTGGGTGTTGAGTAGGTTTTCTTTAGTATTTTTGTCTTGTTTTAGCACAAAGCTATAGAATAGGCTATCTATACTCTGTCCATCACAAGGAATTGAACCTGAGATTTTAGCACTGCAAGTCCATAAACTTACTGCTGACCAATGTTCCCTCTAATATTTCTTTGTACTGAGTAGACCACAAACTCCTTAGACACTACTTTTCTGTCAAGCACCTTTTTTGGGTGGCTATTGGCACCTGTACTCCTGCATTACATTTGGACATAGTATTCTTCAAACTGCAGGCCTATGTCCTCCACACAAAACTATTACTAACTGAATAACTTGTGAGCATCCCATTGTTTTTGATCCCTGTTACTTGTCAGATTAGAGCACAATCACATATGCATGAAACTTTGAGAGGGACATTGCTGCTGATCCACTATGAGACCTTCTTTAGCAAGGTCACCCTCCAACACTGTGGTGGATTGAAACAGGTAGAAATGGACCAGTTACACTAGTGGTCATATATTCATATTGGCTGGACTGTTTTCCCATGGATATCTAGCTGGAACTTGCCACATACTATATAAGATGTATGCATTTCTGCAACTTACTGTATTAAATTTAATTAATTTAAAATGTATTTCAGTTACTCATCATATTTGTTGAATTAATATATAACACTAAAGAGGGGGTACTCAACCTAAGACTAAGTTGTCATAGAAGCTTTTTTGTAGCCTGCCTGTTACTCATAGTTAAGACTATTTATTGATACTTGTAATTATTATTGTCGAATTTTAGCAACTCTTCTAGTAGAAGTTATTACATAAGTATATATGTTAACTTAAACTTTTGACTAAACTTCAAGTAGAAGAAATCTTTCAGTTAAAACAGTGCCATTTATTACTTAAGTCACAATTAGCTTTAACTGAAACATCTGTGCTTCATTCACAGCTAAATCAATATTTATTTTTTTACATAAAAAGAAGAAAGACAGTAGAAACAGATCACTATTAATTGTAAGACTTGTAGTTTTACTATGAAAACATATAAAGTTAAACTAGTCAGAGACTAAAACATTCATAATATACATTTCCCTCAACTCATAGACAACATTTGATATCTTTTACTGGAATGTTGAAATTGCAAGGTGGGAAACAGAGAAAGGAGTTGGTTAACCCACCCTCCTCCAGCTGGTGGGGACAAAGGCTTAAGCAAGAAACATACCCCCAGATGACTGAGTAAAATATTAGTAACTATTCTACCTGAAAACAAACAATATGGGACTAACATTAGCATATATTTGTGGACACAAATATTTCTGGAATACAGTTAAATGTTTTGCTCTTAAGAAAAAATTTTGGTATTGTAGTTGCAATATCTAGTTGTCACCTATGCCTCAACTTGTTGTTGTTGAGATTACATAATCATATATGGTTTTCTTAACTGAATAATTTTTCAGTTACTGGAATTTTTCTACATTACAGATTTGACTACTTTATAATTAATGAACTTCCTAAAATGTTTTTTTTTTCCCAAATGCTAAGGACAGTTGTGGAGGTCTCAAGGTTCCAGCTATACATATTACTGGTCTGTAAAATATCTTTAAAAATTTGCATAACTCACCAAATGATAGTTGAAACACAAGAATTTAATAAATGGTTTTTAATCTTTGTAGTTCTAAGTTGTATTCATATTTCAATAATGCAAACATGCACTATATGAATACTTTTTCATAGAAGTAAACCCTAATTAAAAGTCCATAATGACCAAGATCATTTAGAAATTGGTAGTAATTACAAATATCTATACCAAAAATTTCACATACCTTGGGAAGGTCACAAGGTCTACCATTAACAAAAAGAAACTGTCTGTCAGGAGAACTACGTCCTAGCCCATGTTGACAAGACGACACGTAACCTTCTAGTCTACAAACAAAAACCATGTATATACAGGGATTTTTTCTAACCACACCATATTTCTTTGTAACTAGCAAGTGCTGACACATACACAACTCTTTATTGCACAAACAAAATCACTTAATACATGATGATACCTTCAAACTCACAACTATGAATAAGATTACCATTTCATTTAGTGAAGATAAAATAATCCAGATTTCATGCCACTTTTACTGTGGTCATACAACCTGAATGTTGACCTAACTTGTGCTCACAAATAAACTAAGCCTACAAATTTGAACTGTAAAGTATTTTTTAAAGATTTGATATACTGGTTGCTTATTGTATATGATTAAGTGATTTATACTGTGAACACTAATAATTCTCTTGGGCCAATTCAACATGTGTTTATAACTTCCACATATCTTTTCTGACTCTTAAGTGATAGTTTATAATAGATACTATTCCATTTTCCCAAGAAAATATATTTGCCAGATGTAATTTCTATTTCCCATTACCATATTTCAAACCAATGAGAGAGATAAAATTCCAAGTTTTACCAGGTCAAAAATTTTTTTTTTCAAGCTTCAGAATTCAACATTTTTTGGTGTTTAATGAGAACTGGTGTGAATTTTACTCTGCATTTATGAACATCTAATGGTTAAGTTTAAATTTATGACATTTAGTATGGAATACTTTCTAGTAATAATTTTACATATCTAAAAAATAATTAATTTTTAGGAATAATTATAATGATAAAGTATGAGCTATATCAGATGTGTCAAACTAAAAACAAAAATAATTAACATGTAACATGTTCGTATACATAAATATACTGTGTATCACTTATAATGTCCACTATTCTCGATGATCTGGAAATGACAGTAAACAAATATATACCCCATGTTTTGTTTATAATTTTCTTTCTCTCTCTCTCAAAATTTGATTACTACAGCCCTTTGTTTCCATCCTTTTACAGTGTTACAGCATATAGTCTGAACAATTACTAATGGTATCTAACTCTGTAAATAGGTACAACAAATGGCTATCAACCACTGGATATAAAATAATATAATTCAGTATAGAGTAAGTAAAGAGGTTTGAGCACTTGTTTATTGTTTCTTATAAAACTGAGAACTCGTAGCTTCTGCATGAGTGAACAAAGGATTCTAATGTGCACAGCACTATGGAAGATACCACAGACTATGGAATTTTTCTTTTTATAGTTTTAGGCTTTCTGAACCTGAAACAGTCTTTCACTCTATAGATGAGCCCCACATACACTCGGGTGCACTTTGAAGTTTTTTTTATTTTACAACAGCAACAGAAAGCAAATGGGTGACTGTCATGATATAAAAGACTGTTAAGTATAGATATTATTGATTAATTTATTTTTGTGAGTGAATATTTTATTGTTGTTTAGTTTTTGTTATAATAAAGAGTTAAAGGCAGACAATTGTAGGAAGTTTTGTTAATAATTCATTGATGTTGACACTATCGAACATCACGTGCAATACATTGACATCAAGAACATAGAAGGTGGGCAGACAATTAAGTGATAAATATATAAATAGTGTGAAACACACAAAGACAGATAGATAATAGCAAAAAAGAGTAAAGTTACAGGCCAAGGAAAATTTCAATGAGTTAACTACCATAGAAATGATAGGCCTAACAATTGACATAGGCCTAACATTTAATATGTTAAAGTAAGACTAACAGTATAAAAGGAGATAAGAAAAATATTTATTCTGTCAAAGCATGATTCTAAAGTAACTGAATCAGCCTGAGTGTGCTTTGACAAAAGGAACAAAGGATCTTCAGAAGAAAGAAGACCTAATGATTACAGTAACTCGTGCCTCAATTTTAAGTGAATCACACACAAAATACTAGTGCGATAGTAATAGAGAAGATAGTTTGGCTTCTCAACTGAAATTCTAAAGCAATTGAATAGGCCTAAGTGGACTTGTGACAAGAAGAGAACTATATATATAGTGTTTACGATATGCTTATAATCTCAGTAGCATGAAGGATTTGTTGTACACACATTTATCTTGTTCCAAATATACATAAATAATATTTTGAAAAACAAGTGAAGTGTGTGCTGTTCATTTATCATTGAATTTATCACCAAGTCACAGACACAGTATAGATTTATACTATTAAAAAGTATAAGTAAAAGCCTTTTATTTTGACAATTTTTGAAAAGCTTTATATTTTTACATTCTGACAGTGACATCTTGCTTTAGTGTACTCCTTGGTGAAGTTAGTTCTGCCATGTATTTTAATTATGATGGAATATATAAAAAAAATATTTTATTTAAATTCACTCAAACATAAAAGTAATATACTTGCACAAGGTTGATGCTTCAATTTTCTTTCTCTACTATAGCAGTTGGCACAAAACCACATTGCCCTACCTCATGTCACTACTACTGAATATCCACTCGCACCGTTCCAATAAGGAACTTAGGAGAATATCTCACAAAAGTTTCGGAGATCGACGGGTTTTTTGTCTACCAACCAATCAGAAGCAATGTTATAAAACACAACTGGAAAGACCATGCAAATAGTAAATAATCAATAAATGATAGAAAATTCCTTAGGCACACTTTAAATTTCCATTTTCAGGTAAAAGTTCACAATTCCCAGACTATTTCCTGTAATTATAATTTTCCCAGTTTTTACTAAAGCAAAGACTAAAAGGTTGACCATGTTTTGTGCACTTTTATACAGAATGAAGTCCTGAAGAAAAAATATTAATATACACAATTCGAAAGATAAAAATATTTTTTATTTTTTTGCCTCTCAAGTGTATTTCAATTGCATGTAATGGACACTTAATATTAATTTCAATGATTTATTTTTTATATTAGGTCGTCAAGAAATTAATGTTGCAAACGAAAAAAATGGTAATCTGATGGTGCCATATCTGGAGAATATGGTGGGTGGGGGAGATCTTCCCAACCCATCTCCATAATCTTGTGTTGCGTCAAACATGCCACATGTGGACGTTCATTGTTTTGGAGAAGAACACCTTTCCGATTGACAAGTGAAGGGCATTTATGATGAGGAGTTTGATTTAAACGTTCCAGTTGCTGACTATAGATTTTTCGCATTGACAGTTCGCTGTGGTATGAGGAGTTCGAAATGAATTACTCCTTTGTTGTCCTATCAAATGCAAAGCATCACTTTCTGCGAATGGAGTCCAGGTTTTGGGGTCGGAAGTGGTTTTTGTCTAGGATTGAGCCATTGTTTTTGCCATTTAACATTCGCATAGAGAATCCATTTTTCATCACTGGTGAATATTACGCACCAGAAGAGACGAAGCAATATTCACACTTTGGAAACTATGATAATTAGAGAGTTTGTGATGCACCAAACACCTTCTTTATGGAGTTTTCCCATATTCCTTAGATGTTTACGTATTGTTTCACGAGAGACATGTAATTTCAGGGCCATTTCATGAGGATTAGACTAAACAAGCATCTTCAGATCAATATCAATTCTAACATGTCGGCCCCTGCCATCACAGTTTTTAAGGCTAAAGTCACCTTTGTGGCTACAGAAGTATTGTTTCCTTTCTTGTATTCAAACAGAGTTACATGCCGAATATATGTTTTGTAGTGTGCCATCACTATATGTTTTTATTGGGGTGATTAATGAAAGTGTTCCAAAATGCAACATTAATTCCTTGATGACCTAATACTATTAAGATTTTATCATTGCACCATTACATTCAAAACAAATTTTTTGTTTTCATTTTCTTCAGTTCCAGGTATGTTTCTGGGAAGTATAACCTTATACTTCAGTGTGTTTGAGTCTGAGATTTTTTTACTGTATGAATTTTGTCATAAATGGAACATTTTGTCACCAGACACCAACACTAAATATTTTTCAAAATGACAAGCATCACCATAAGCCTTAACAATACAGATAGTTGTTAAAATTTTATAAAACAAATTAAACATTACAAGAGTGCATAATTTATAAACTATAAATTTATAGTTTTTATAAATTTTTCTCATGAAAGTTTTGTAGTCTTAACTTATTTAAATCATCTCATATTCCAGACTTCTAAAGTAACTTACTGCCTTTTACACAAGGCCAGTAAAAAAAACAACTTGAGTTCTGTCATTCACTTTTAAATATGCCAGTAAAATATAAACATTATGAGACATTTTAAGTAACCTCTGAAATCTAATGAATTTTAATTTCATTTCTGATACTGTACATGGTGAATATGTACAGGATTTTGCAAATGGATTCTTAAAGTCCTTGTCATCTGTAACCATTGTTATCCACTCATTATTATGCAAATGGACAGAATATATAAAAGGTAAATGACTTCTGTATGTGGTTCATATATCAAATAGGTATATTTCTATTGCATTTCAGTTGTAAATATGATTTGTAAACTTTAAGGTTTCCACTATGTCACTGATGGTATATGACAAGTTTCCATCATCAAATCCTTAGAGATTGTTGAAACTCGCAAATACTTTCGGTTCTCACTTTTTTGAAAGAATCATAAATACTAGTACCTTACCTCACTGTAGACTTACAGACTCATTCTCATACATTAACCCAACTCGCCTAAACCAGCCAAACCTTGTGAGATATTACTAGAATTACAGCTGAAAATATTGTTAACAGTGAGGGTACCCAACTAATGAAACAATGCATTTTGATCTCAATAAGTAGAAACACAATAAAAGAATGTTTAATTTGTTATACTTATTATCTAAGTACATATCTTGCTATGATTGGAAGTTAATATTCATAGAGACCAAACCTTGTTTGTTTATTTTAGAGCAATGCCACATTGGGCTATCAGCTGTATCCACTGCAGAGAATCGAATACCAAATTTTAGCAGAATAAGTCTGTAGACTTACTGCTGTTCTATCATAGGACAGGTGGCCAAAACCTTAGGAAATATCTTAAGGCTGATATAAGTATTTGTGTAATTTTTTAAAAAAAAGGTAAAATACATCTAACTACATACTCTTTTGCATTTCTAAATTGAATTTTTGCATCATAAAATTTATGTTGTAATTAAAATTTATGGAGCTTACTTTAAAACGATAGAAATAAAATGACAACATCTACTTCACCTGAATGGAAGAGGACTAGACTTGACTGAAAATGGTAAAGAATATTCCTCTTGAACTTCTGCAGATGGCTCTACCTGCTGGAAGCCTAACAAACTAGCAACCTGAAGAAGTAAGAATGCTAATTTATAAGTAACTACAATAAAGATAAAACACAGGAATGAAAAATAACATCACTATTTCAAAACTTTCAATTTTAGGTGTAGATTACAAAATATCAAGTACACGTTGTCCAACAAATATTATACAAATATGCATGTGGTTGACACAAAGTGAAAAAATGCTCTTACATCAGTCTAAGTATATTTTGGATTTAATATTCAACAACTGATATGACCACAAGTATTAAGTTTAAGCTAATGTTAAGTAATCAGAATTTTTATTATTATTATTAACTTACAATTCTAGTAGTACATTATAAGAACAGAGACCCTTCTCTCAGTTTTTTCTGGGAACCTAGGTACTTATTTGTATACCTAGAATAGCTGTAAAAGTTCATAGAAGAGAATAATTATTTATTTACAAAAGTAACAAGTTTAGATTACATGCTGTTGATCAGTATCTTTGATAGGTTCAATGACACTTGTTGCTTCTGAAAATCTTGCAATTATGTTAAACTTTTGAAAGCTAAGCTTATAATATTTAGTTGTAAAATAACAAAAAAATATTTTTTTAAAGTCCTGCATTTTAATTGATCTCTTTCACTATACCAACTGTATTATTAAAGCAAGGCTTAACATAATATGCTTGCTTTTCATCTATTGACAAATGATTTTTTATTGAAGTAAAATATTTCTAACTTTCAAGGGCACATGGTACAAGTACCAAACCAGAAGGAAAAAAAGGAACTGTGATAACAAACTGATTTACTTTGTCAATTTGTTTTCCATGTTGAGTGTCAACTAAACTATGGCAGCTATTTTACTTTTTTTCTTTTGTATTGCAAGTGATTTACAATCATTTTACAAAGCTCTGTTTTAATTATAGATACTTATAAACATATAGTTTATGAACAACAAGGGACCTATTTATCTATCTAGGCCATCTCATCCACTAAACTATACTTTAAAATAAAAATAAAACACTGGAAGTCAGCCTTATCATTCAAATATTTGTCAAGCCTTCCTTAAACTCCTTAAATTAATTATATCCACTAAAACTAAAGGCAATCCATTCTAATGGCCAAACACTCTGTTAGAAAAATGAAGCTGTCTTAGTTGAAGATTACTCCTACCTTCCCAAAATTTATATCTGTGTCCCCTAATCCTACCATTCTCACCATTAAGTACAAAAAAAGATTATGCATTAACACTATCAATTCCCTTAACAATCTCAAACACTTCAATCAGATACTACCTTTTTTTCAAGGTAAAAAGAGTTCCAGAGATCTTATATGAGAACCTTTCCAACCCAGGTACGATCGTAGTAACCCTCTGAATTCTTTACAACAATTCAATATCCTTCTTAAAGTAAGGATCCCAAGACTGAAATATAGCCTAACCAGTGACAATAAAATTATAACCCCTTTAGGCTTGTATTCAATATTTCTATAGATACACCATAAAATCCTATTTATGGTAACACTAGTAACAACACCTTTTTTTTAATGGCTTAAGAGACTGACAAACCAAAACATCAAGTTCCTTTTCTTCCACAACACTGTTAAGATTAATACAATCAAACTTATACTCGTAATTCATATTATGATATCCTATCTGTATTACCTTGTATTTACTATTATTAAAAGCCATTGTCATTTGTCTGCCTGACTTATCAAGTTTAAAAAAATAATTTATAGAATGATAAAAATCAGTGTCATAAAAATATTAAGGAATACTCCCAAATTTTCATAATATCCAAGTGTCTTATAAACAAAATTATATTTTGAAGTGAGAGTTAACAATACAGCATAAGACAATGTATTTTTTCAACAAAACAAATGTACTATTAAATATAATACATTTTACAATGCACTATAATCCATTACATCAACATAGTTAACACAAACTTCACAAACTAACAAAACTATATTTAATTATGCATAGAAACAGAGAAATAATGATGTTAGTTTCTTTCATGACTTGTTATATATTAAAGAAGTTTAGCATAGCTTTACAGAAAAAAAATAAAGTTTGAAGTCATATTAAGTTATAACATTTTAAAGGAACTTGCTTAAAGTTGTATAGGATCCATTTTGTTTCTTGGGAATTTGCATTTTTTTTTTCTTATTTCAGCAAGAAAACAGTAGTACTCTCTACTCATGGTAGTAGTACAGTTAGAGAAAATATAGTCAATGTTTTTGGTGCAAAACAGGTAAATGTAATTATATTTAACCAAATGTTTTAGATACCAGTTAAACTTCCAAACTCGTATTCATAAAATTTTTCAGATGAGAGTAGAGTTAGTGGTGGATGCTTCTGACTAGTTACCTACCAGTTGAAAATTATGACCAGCTATGTGCAGATAGCCCTTTTTATCAAAATCTTTGAACAAAGCTACCAAACCAAGAACCTTTGGATTCACAGTCCAAGCACATTAGTCACTTGGCTCTGCCAGCTCCCCAGTTTCATTATGTCATGTTCAAAGAAAAACTTTTGTTAACTTGGTTACTTCTTATTTTGTTTAGTAACACTGAGTGAAATTACTTCAAATTGTTTCAACAGCTATTTTTTATATGGTACACATTTGACTGACTGATTAATTTTTTCAAATATACATTTAGTACATAAAACAGTACTATACTTTTTGTATTTAAATGTTTATTAAGCAATATAGTAAACATTTTGCTTTATTAAATCTGCAGCCTAAAACGTTTATTAAAAAATTAAAAATATAAACTGAATGAACCATAAAAAAAATTCATTTATTTTATGTTAACTTCTTAATTTCAAACAAACTATGCAGAAATATTTGGCGAGATTCCCTAATCAATTTGAAAGTGAAAACAAAAATCTTAACCTATGTGCCATTTATCATTAACTTTATTAAATATAGAAAAATCAACCGCAGAAACAAAAATAAAGAATCGTAGATTGGGGTTAAAAAAAAAAGTGGGAACTAGATCTACAGAACAAAGTGTACCAATTCTCACTTGATCTCTTGGCAAATTAAATTTTTCAAATGGCCAAAAGAAGGCTAGTACTGGCAGAAGTCTTAAGTAGAAATCTGTTATGAACTGAATTTTTTGACAATTTTTAACATCAAAGATGCATAATTAGGCTTGACATGGATAACAATATGTTAAATTATATAAAAGGAATATAAATGTTATACAAAGTACATATAACTCAAAAATAAAACAACAAACTGTCTGAAAAAGGGCTCTGAAGAGACCCAATACATAAGATAAGGATTTTTTTTTCATATTCCAATCTTCACCTTAGTGTTTACTCAACATATCTACCTTGTATTGACTTTAGCATTTTTTAAGTTTATTTTTATGTTTTATTAGCAAGCCTACTATGAGATTTGATTATGTTTTAGCCCCACAAGACTTGTTTTGTATTATTTCTAAGTCCTAAATTTTTTTGCTAAAAAACTACAAAGGCAAATTCATCTGATTTGAACAGTTATTTTTTCACTATTAAAAAAACAGTTAAATTGGAAACAGAATTTTAACAAAGTCACAATGGATTAAAATTTAATGACTGTTAAAAGAATTACTGTCAGAAATTATTTCTTTTAAAAAAGCTGATAAAAATTCTATGGACTTGGGCATTTTTACAACAAATAAAATTCCACTGAATTTATTGGAACAAATATTTATATAAAATTATCGTTCATGATCAGGAGGATTCTAAATCCCTATGTTTATAAAATGGTAAATGCAATTAAAATAAATCCTCTTTTACAGGCTATAAAATAAAACATGCTTGAATTTTTCTATTAGAGAAATATTTGAATCTTTTTTTTTTTACTACAAAGTATTCCTGCTTAACATTATGAACTAAACCTCACTTTTCTCAATCAACTTAAAAAGTTATTATTTTAACTAAGTTATTATTTTTACTGTTATACTACAAATTCCAACTTATAGTTTTTGGTATTTCTTAGTTTAACCTCCTTTGTAACTTATGTTTTGTTGGACATTTGTCCAGCACTAAATTACTCATTACACTAATAAAATAAAAAAAATCTTACCCTTTCTTAGTTTGGTTTATACATGTAATTCTGATTTTTGTACTAATTAAGCAATATGCTGTGAGTACTTGAACCATTCGATTAAACTCCCTTCGGACATTATGCAAAAACTCTTTATGTCGTACAGGCAAGGTGCAAAACAAATTCTGAAGACTGACTGTTGTGCCCACCTGAAAAACCAATATTATTGCTTTAAATACATTAATCAAGGAAAGATACAATAAATAAATGTGAAAAATACATGAAAATATTTGTTTCGTGCCAACAAGAAAAATAAAAGCAAGTTCGTGTTCTTTGTAAATACTTTTTAGCTGATGACAGTAACTTTTCATAAAATTGAGGAAATGATGAATAAACACACATCCAAATATGGTATACTAAAGCACATACTTGTATGTGTCACATACTTTTATTATTAAAAATTTTTTTTTTGGTTAATGCAAATCTTATTTTCAAATGAAAAAAACCCATCAAGCCTAGTAGTCAACCCCCAAAACTAGTGTGAGGCTTACATTGTGCTTCCCTGCATATCACATGCTCTAGCGCTATGCACCACAGAATCTCACATGTTCTCAATCTTTGATCAACCACGGTATTTATTAATTCCCATAATAAAGCAACAGAGAAGAAAAGCAAATGAAAGTGATGACTTTATATCAAAAAGTTGAATTATTAGATAAACCTGCTAGTGGACTTGGTGCTGCTGCTGTGGTGGGTAGGCTGTATGACATTAATGAGTGAACCGTACAGAACACCAAGAAAAAATGAGAAAAATATAAGGGATAGCATTGCAGCAAGTGCCCTATCAAGTACAAAAGTGTCTTGTGAGATTCGTGATCCAATAATAGATAAAATAGAGAGAGTGTTAAGTCTTTGTATCAAAGATATGGCACAAAAGAAAGTGCCTGTGAACAGCCCAGTTATCCTCAAAAAAGCTCTTAGTTTATACAAGCATAAAATAATTATGGGGGGTAGTCACAGTGCCACTTCATTTAATGCTAGTATGGGCTGGTTTGAGAATTTTAAAGTAAGATATGGAATACTTAATGTGAAGTTTGTTGGTGAATCAGCATCAGCAAACCATGAGGAATAATCCCCTGGAGCTTCTTAAGATAATTGAAGAAAACAACTACAGCCCGAACAAGTGTTTAACTCTTTCAGCATGGGCTCGGTCCCTGGGACCAACCTCATAACCATTTTGTGCTTGTTAAAGTTTTCATGCCTTAACTTTTAAATTAGTAAACGAATATTAACGAAATTTGGTACACTATCAGTAAACATTACAATACTTTCATATGCCAAATATACATTTTTTTTTTTATCAAGTCTTAAGGTTTGTGAAACAATGTATTTCTCATGCCTTTTTTTTTTTCTTTTCACATG